AATCTCTTGTAGTAGTACCACGTTTTCTTCTCATCTTTTTTGTCATGTATATCTCGTCTCTTCTACTTTAACCAAATTTAACTGTCAAAGAACTACATGTAATCAACGGTGTGAAGAATTCTTGTCAAAAATTGAATGTGTACTTGTTTTCTAATACAATTTTATCTATCTTATCATAATTTGCTATTGCAGTTTGGAAAATTATATATTTGGTAAGAGATTGAAAAAACACTCAAACCAAATAATATATAATAAACTCATCTTCTAAACAAACATTAACATTAACATTCATCAACAACAAATCATAAATAACAAATACAACATATCAAGTCATAAAATGCTTCAAAAACATACCATATATGTCCCATAATGGTGTGTCCATAATGAAATCAGAATGAAGTTAAAGTTAGAGCATCAAACTTAACATCCCTACTTATAAGTTTGCAACGCTAACTTTAGCTTTAGCCTATTTATTGAAACCAGCATTCTTATTTATTGACTAAAATTTGATATTATGATTTTGTTTTGAGGTTTTCATATGAGATAGACGAGTGACAGAGTTGTTAAGGTTTCTTTTGCAGAGAGAGGAGCGAAAGAGTTCTTAGGATTTTGTTTTGATATATACAAATAAGTATCACCTTTTATCACGATTGTTAATAAAAACTGTTCCGGACGGGCTCAATGGCTAGGCATGACCCAATTCACTTCTGGTCCCAAAACGGCTCAATTGCATAAGTCCAACCAATTAGGGGAGCATTTACCTTTCTGCCCCTCCAACACGAGAGATTGGCCGATTTACCCCTGGGCAAGCACTTCTCCTCGTCAGTACTTGCTTGTCACGCACGGTTCCACCATCCAAAAACAGACAAGACGCTTGTTCCCGTAACTGCGTCTCTGCCCGTAGCAACAGTTAGTTATGGGTACCTCTGGTCGTTCCAACGACTAGTTCTGATAGTTACCAATTTTTCAGGAAACAATGGCCAAGCACTGGGAACACTATAAAAACACTCTCATTTGAGAGAGTCAGATATTTAATATTCACCTTGATATACACATATTCTGTACTTGCCTTATTTCTCTCGATTCTTACTTTAGCATCAGAGTGACTTGCAGGTACACCCATTTTCCTCTCTCACACCCAGCATCACAAACAATTGTCTCTAACCCACTTCAGATTATGATCGGCTGTCAAAATCAAAAGTCGTGGTGATATACATAAATATACATAACACTAACTAAGTATTAACAAATGTTATTTGATTCCCTTATATATTGACATATAAAAATATATGATATTTAAGTAGTTAACATCTAAAAATACATGTTTTATGTTGTCAATAATGGACAAACATCTTTTTCTTAATTTGATCACAATTATATTTTTTGTCTTAAAATAGGTAACATATAAGTTGTTATAAATAATGGGATCACAACATTATCTTTTACGTTGATTCTTTTCTACTAGTATTACTCTAATTAATTATTTTTGGTTTAAAATGGAGTTGATGGATCTTGACTTGAGTGAAGAAATTGTGAGTGATAATGAGGAGGATATTGTTGTATGTGTGAGAAGTGTATCATTGGTATTTAAGTTCAACATGTCGATTCGGTGACAAATTTGTCCCAATACTTTCTTCTTTTGGTTATGATATTATTTTAGTTATTAATTGAAACAAAATTTTAAAATAAAAATCCTTGATGCGGTGACCCATAAGCATGATCATATCATTACTCATTAATTCACATAACTCTACCTTTTCAGTACTTAAGCATTTTGATATTTTCCAAATGCAATAAAAATTACGGAAATATCGATACATTATTTGAAGTCTTTGCATGCTAATGTACAATGACTATGTCGAGGTTGGTTTAAGCTAGTGTTGAATCTTAAATCTTGGAGTTCATTTTCACCTGTACTAATATAATTTGATTTATGTGATAGGAATTTGCAAAAAGAAGAGGAAAAAAGGAGGAGTCCACGTCATGCAATTGGTGCCAGGGGCAAAAAGAAGACAAAATTAAGGTCACCTCAACATCTCACAACGTCATCAAAGGTTAAGTTTGCTTACATTATCCATATATACTTATAACAGTTTTCTTCCATGTATAAGATTGGTTTACTTAATTTATGCCATTTAAACAATTATGTGCAGAATGTGAAACGTCAAGATATCAGAAAGAAAAACGCTAATGGTTAGCGAGCTTCATTTTTGTATATACTTTGTATCACTTCAAATTATAAATTTTCATGAATGCTTTTGATTTGTTTCACTTGCATGTATCAGATCAACCATCAAAATCACCATCGACTATTTTGCCAGAGAAACAAGTACTTGAACTTGTCGTTGACACTTTACAAAGGTGTTTATTAGCACGGATAGAAAAATTTATATTGATATTTTCAATTTTTGCTTCATAATTATTTTTTAGAGGTAGGAATCCATGGACAATTTTCATTTTCTATTAGGTGTTTCAATCTGATGGATTGTTCGGAGGCTTCTTAGTGTCTATTTTTTTCGTGTACTTATAATAATCAATATATTTTGTATTATGATTGATTAAATTTGAAACTCATAAAATAGGAGAGATATCTACGAAATATTTGCTGAACCAGTCGATCCAAATGAGGTCAGTGGTCTTAATTACTCATAATATGTTATAGATATTTTATGAAATTTTTCTTATAACTCACTTGTGGTGGATTTTTATGAAAAGGTTAAGGATTACTATTCAATCATCCAGGAACCTATGGATTTTGGCACGATGAGAGCTAAACTACACGAGGGAATGTATAAGACTTTAGAACAATTTGAGGTTTACAACCTTAATTTTTTTATGAATGATTGTCTCCTTTTTTAATATATTACTACTTTTATGTGTATGCTTAAAGTGTTATTATGCTTTCATTTTTGTCATTTAATACTTGGTATTTGAACTATTATGCAGCATGATGTATTCTTGATATTCAACAATGCAATGGAATTTAATTCTTCTAATACCATATACTTCAGACAGGTATGACATGGAACGTTTGTGAACAACTTACGCTAAATTTCACTATCAAATATTTTTTTTTATAAACTATTTATATATGTATTATTTCAATTTCATAGGCTCGAGCTATAAGTGAGTTAGCTAATAAAGTTTTTGAGGTATTGAGAATCAATCCTAGCAAGTTTCAAATAGACTTCTCAGAAGTGAGTCGAGTAAATGAAAGAGGTGTTAGGGATTCATCACACATTAAATCCAACAAAACAACAGTTGGCGTGCCCTCGAATAATATGTCATCGAGCCGAAAAAGCGTCAAGATAGATTTTCACGACGCCTATAAACATAATCATGCTATAGATGTAGAAGTTGGTCTAGGTAAGAGGAAGCATATAAATAAATTAAGACTTATATTGTGTTGAAATTAATTATGAAATTTAATTTGGTTATTTTTGATGTGTGTTTGCATAGCTCTAAGTTATTTTTCACTTTAGTTTGTCATATTTTACTAAGCCAATCTTGTACTTATTCTGACATTCTAAAGGTTTATATATGAAAACAATTGAAAAACTTGTTATGAATAGTTTTCATCCTAAGCATAGTGAAATTCAATTACAAAATTTGTTATTGGTAAACAACCCTTATAATAATTTGGTCTGAAAATATGAAATTCTCATGATTTACGCATTTTAAATTTACTAGGTATCGAAGAAAATCGGAGTTGTATATCTATTAATTCTGATAGACGTTCTACTTATAAAAAAAATTTCCATAACAAATATGAGTCAATATTTTCAACTATATACGATGATAAAGTAAGGATACTTGAACATGTAAGTCTTCTTTTCTGTCATTATTACTATTTTTTTAAAAAAACATAAGTCTTCTTTTCTGTCATTATTACTATTTTTAAAAAAAAACATAAATTTTGGTTTTGGTTGATCATATGGTTATATTGTATCTTTGTATAGGTTAGGGAACAAGATAATGGCTACAAAGATAGTTTGATGTTATATTCTAAAGATTTAGGACCCATTGCCCAAAAAATAGCTAGAAGGAAAATACTTGGATGTGAAATCCGCACTGCCTCTGCCTCTGCTCCATAGGAAGAGCTGACGTTCAGAATGTGGAATGGGCGAATGTGATAAGTTGGCGATTTAAAGTCTTTAATAATTATTTTAATATTATTTTTTTGTGTTTGTAATTTTTAAATTAAATGATATTGACATAAAATTGTGTGATTAATCAATTTTATAACTTCATTAACCAATATTGTACATTATATTAACCAACTTCATTGACAATTAAAAATTATTCTTAATATCTGATTGCGTATTAACCAACTTCATAATGTCATTAACCAACTTTTTACATTTCATTACTCAATTTTGATTTATTACTAAAAATTATTTTTAACATCTGAATGTTTATTAATCAACTTCATCACTTAATTAATTAATTTTTACATTTTATTAACCGATTTTATTTTACTATTTTAAAGGCACCGTTCACGCACTATTCACATATTATAAATATTATTTTTTATTTATTAAAAAAATAAATAAAAAATAAATATTATAAATAATATTTATAAATATTATAAATATTATTTTAAAGGCATTGTTTGGTGTAAGTATTATGCAAAAGAGTCTTCTTTTCTATTATACTCAATTGTAATGGTTAGCTATGTTTTTATTTATATAAATTTTATATAACATTTTTTTAATCTTTTTTAAATTAATACTAACATATAAAGAACATAAAAATCTAATCCTTTGGTGTCAATTAAATTTATTTTGAAGTTAACTTTATCTTATAGAATATATCCACATTTTGTGGAAGTGGAATTGTAAAAGTACATATACTAAAGTTAATTAATTAAGGGAGAAGAAAAGGCTATAAATCCTAAACACCATCCACCTGTGTGTTAAATGTTAATTTGGTAATTTAATTTGATGAGAAAAAAAGGAAAAGAGTTGAAAGATGGTTGTGTTGTTGTTTAGTTTGTAATAATGGCATACAGGAGAAGGCAGGTTGTAACGAGAAGTTCGACCTTCAAGGAAGAGATTAATGTTAATGGAAATGAATTATTAGATGATCATAATCAAAATGATGGTTCTATGAGCGCTCCTTCCTTTTTTTCCTCTATTCACAATTCCTTAGCTACTCCATCCTTTAATAATTCCCTCGCTGCTCAAGCCATCAAAGCTTCTGCCGCTCGTCGCGATCCCTCTCTTTCATTTGCTCCTCCTCTTCATCATGAAAATCATAACAGATCCAAGGTTCTTCTTTCTTTTTTTCTTGTTTTTCTTCATTTCCTTCTCTCCCTCATACATTTTTCTTATATATATGCAGAGTTGTGATTCTGATGGCGATCCTTCTAAATCTGGTTTCTGGGGCGTCCTCGCACTCAAAGCTAAAGATATTTTTGACGACGATGATCCATCCCCTAAACTTCCTCATCATGACATCCAAAAACTTAGATCGCACTCTTTTAATACCACAACCATCCCTGCAACTCAGGTCAATTCATTCATTCATCCAATGCATTCCATACATGCCACTTGTTTTTCTAAAATATTTCTAATTTCTTCAGAATATTGCAAAAATTGGTGAGAGTAACCTTAAACAACAGTTCAACCAAACACTTGGGACCACAAACTCTCAATCTATCCCGGAAACACAACTCAAGGCATCTCGCGACGTAAGGTGCCAACTAACTATGTCATTCAATTGTGATTAAGACATTATTATATAAATTATTGACATCATTTGAATGCTCAATAGGTGGCAATGGCAACGGCTGCGAAAGCAAAGTTACTTCTGCGAGAACTTAAGACCGTGAAAGCGGACTTGGCTTTTGCCAAAGCACGATGTTCTCAACTAGAAGAAGAAAATAAACTACTTCGTGACAAGGAAGGTCGCGAGAAGGGACAAAATCGTGCAGATGATGATCTGGTATATGTATATTAATTAATCTATAATGTAGCGAGTAGAACCTACTAAATGGATGAATGTTGATGGATTTTGCGTGTGTAAATAGATTCGTCTTCAATTGGAGACACTTCTTGCTGAGAAGGCTCGATTGGCGAGTGAGAATGAAGTGAACTCTCGTGAAAACCGTTTTCTACGAGAAATTGTGGAATACCATCAATTGACTGTGCAAGATGTGGTGCAATTTGACGAAGATATGGAACATGACTCAGAGCTTTATGGATCCATAGATACCACTTATGGACCTCAAATGTTGTCTCCACGCTCTCAAGTAGCAGGTCTACCCATGCATTCAAAATCAATGTTTGATGTATCACCACCATCATCACATGATGAAGCAACTCCTACTTCTAATTAAGGATCAACATGCAAATGGATCCATCATTTTCATTAATATAGATTTTCCTAATTAGATATGTTTTTCATACCATGCATGCATTGTTAAATACTTCCGGCCAACTTTATACACTTGTAACAATGGATAAGGAAGTCATGTACATAATTAAATTACAACATAAATAATTTGTTATAAACATACTTTTTTTTGGGTCAAAAACTAGTATAATCTCAACAATCTACTTAAAAGGATATATGGCAATTATTCATATATCAAACAATAAAAATATATATTATAATTACAACTCGTCAAGTGTTTGAACTATTGTTGTATTGGGAGTAGAATTTCCATGAAGAAATGAACAGTTTCAATGCGGAACTTTTTTTATATCTTAAGAAGGAATTTTTTGCAGCCCTTGGTGGTTATATGGTTTATTTTTCAACGTACATTAAGAAATCAACATAAACATGAAAAATTTATTGATACACAGAATCATAATTTATTGGATATTTGAGAATCATTTATGTAGCTTACAAAAGAATCACAACAATAACATGGTTTAAGACGTTAATTGTACAACGATTGGACTCTTGACATTATGGGTGCCATCTGACCAAACAAGTGAGGACGAAAACACAGTTTGAGTTGATCCTACACTCCCAACAACTGTGACAGTAAATGATTGTTTCTCATTTAATGATTTGAATGAGAGAATATTTGGCTGCACTGTAATCTTGACATTTGGAACTGGAGTCACAGTAGCCTTGTAGGTTGAATTAGGAGAGCCAACATTTGTAACAGTTCTAGGAAACTTGATATTGAATGGTTTTTGAGGCGCAACAGAAATCACTAGTGCAGGATAATTTAGATCTTTTACTAATGATGGGTTAGAAGTTCCACGACAACTTGAGTTTTCCCCACTAATTTGTTTAATTTTTTCATCGCTGTAACCAAAATTGCAAAGCATTTGCACATAATCGTCTTTAGTGATGTCATAAATAAGTCCCGGGTTAACAGCTAGTCCTGGATTGGCATTCCCTGATCCATAAGAAAACTCCCCGGCCATATCATTATAAGTACCCTTCACTGGTTTTGCTGTGGTCATGATAGCAGATTTGATAGCTGCGGGTGACCAATCTGGATGAAATGATTTTACATAGGCAGCAATTCCTGTAATGTGGGGACACGCCATGGAGGTTCCAGATTCTATGCTATAACTAACCTTTCTGGTGTCACCAACACGAGTAGAGGGTGACATTAGAGGTGAAAATGCAGCCAAGATATCCACTCCTGGGGCACTTATATCCGGTTTCATTATATCTGGAACCACTAGATTGGGACCACGAGAAGAGAAAGAAGCCACTCTAGGCGCACTTGTGTCCCGGAAGATCTCACTCTTCAAAATTTCAGCTTCGGGGGATCCAGTGGAATCTGCGTAAGTTTGAACAAGACCAAAGTCTTTTGAATTCAAGTTAGTGGAAGGCAGGCTAGAGACAAAAGCCACATCATTTAAAGACTCTTCCACACTGGAGACTATACCATATGCGCCACTTTGAAAAACAGATTCTTCGAACCCCCGTGATTCACACAAAACAATCTTACCTTCCACCGATGTTCTACCTACGATGTCTGAGCAAGTACCCTCGGCGGCTATTGGAACTTTTGTGCCATTTGAGGGGAAAGCATTCACTGAAGTACCAACGAGAGTTTTTCCATTTCCAAGAATGAGCTTAGTAATGAACTTACGATCTATGGTAGTTGCTGCAACACTAAATAACCAAGGTGCTACACTTGAAGTAGTACTCACGTCAGGACCTGAGTTTCCTGCAGAATGCGATACGACTATTCCCTTCTCCATGGCATGAAAAGAAGCAATGGCAATAGGATCATCCAAAAAATCTTGTGCACCTTCACCCCCTACTGAGAGTGAAATGACGTCAACACCATCCGCAATGGCATCGTCAAATGCACCTAATATGCTAGCACCGCTGCATGCACCATCTGCACCACATATTTTATACACAGCAATCCTTGAAGATGGGACTCCGCCTCTTGCGGTGCCTTTTGCAAGATCAAAAAAGCTCACGCCTTGCACCTCTCTTCCACCTGCAGTGGATGCCGTGTGAGTTCCATGACCAGCATCGTCTCTTGCACTATCCGTGTTGCCATAAAATCGTGCTCCGATCAGCTTATTATTGCAAGTAAAGTTAGAACCACCTTTACATACTCCCTTCCACTTCTTTGGAATGGGACCAACACCTAATCAATCATACAACCATGTAAACAATCATTTTGCTCAATGTTCTAAGATACTTATAACAAACACAATTTATAAATATGAACATGTAAAGTTGGCTTAATAGCTCAAACAGATCAATGTTAAGGAACTAATTTTAAAAGTATATACCTTTATCATTGAAACTTTGAGACTCTGGCCATATTCCGCTATCTATGACTCCAACAATCAAATCACTCTCAATGGGATCTCTTTTGATTGTTTGAGGTAATCCAATAAAGTTCCAGGAACCTGTTGTTTGTATGTGAAAGTTTTGATTTGGAAAAACTGAGACAACACCTTTCATGCCAACAAGTTTTTCTCTTTGTTGATCATTAAGTATCGCGGCAAAACCATTGAAACTTCTCTTATAACTTGTGATTAAGAAATCTTGTATGTTGCCACCACCAAAGACTTGTTGCAACATGTTCAAATGATGAGAGGTTGGAGAATAGGATTCTTCTTTAGGAAGTGATCCCATGTATACAATGTATTCATTACCACTTTCACTGCCATCACACACCAAAAATATTATAGAAACGCAGAAAAAGAATAGAAAAACATTATGGTTAGCCATGCTTTGTGCTTTTCAAATGATGAATACTTTGCTCAAACCAAAATTATTATATACACGCAGAAAAACCAAAAAAAAAAAGACAAAAGTATATCTTATATTCAATAATAGTAATTTCTTTTAAATTTTATCTTAAATATAAAATCACCAATTAAAGAGGCCAAATCAATCTGTTTTATAATATAAATGGCAATCTGTTCAATTACTTAAAAAATTCAATTTTAATAAGGGTTTTTCTTTAAATGAAATAATACTAAAACTATATATTATAAAATAGTTATAATACCTATTTATGATATCCTAATTTTTATTCACAGCTGTATCATAAATCTGTTAAATATGAATTAATAAAAAAAAACAAATATTTAAACTCTAAAAAAATAAAAAATAAAAATTTACCTATATTGTTAGGTATATTTAGAATAATCTATTTTTTAAACATAGAGTTGTTAAACTCTTAATATATTTTCGAAATTTATCATAAGAAATATTTGTGATTAGTAATTTTTTAAAATTTGCAAATATAAAATCCACTCCCAAATGTATCATTATGTATCGCAAGACTAAAAAAAAAGTTATTTCAAATTCATTACATGCCATAACTTCATGAGCATAAAATCATTTTAGAATCATAAATATCTAACTTTTAATCCAAAGATATTTTGTTCTAATATTACACTACATTTTGAATTCTCACGTCACAAATTAAAATAGACATCTTTCAAAAATTATTGTGTCCATTAAATCAAATTTTTTTTAGCTGTTCAAAAAAAACTTTGAATTACAGTCAAAGCTTTGAATGTCATTATTTGCGTCAATTTTTTTAATGTCAAAATATTCATAGCCACAATTCACAAATATTTTATTCAGTCTAAAGTAAGGAAATCTTTAATTAATTGAGATTTATTTTTAATTATTTTTCTATTTAAATAATTTTTTATAATACTTTTTCAATTTTTCTTTATCTGTGAATAAATAATGTGATTATATGAACAAATTTCATTTATTTTTCTTTTCGCTAGATGTAACCTTTTGCTTTTTGTCTATATATAAACATAATACAAATATTTTTGACGTAATGTACTTTATTTAATAAGGAATAAATCTATTATTTATAGCACCATGGGTTATATAAATATATTCATTTACACTATAAAAATATAATTGTGTCGTTACCATGCCAAAAGAGATTTTATCTTTCAAAAATATCTCGACAGATTAGAATTTCACAATTGAGGTATTTCTCTGAATCTTGACCGAAAAAATTTATTAGTATCCGACCATTTTTAGAATAGAATATTACTAAATGACAAAAAAAGTTGAAATAACTTAATAAATTTTTTTAATACCATTTTAAGACCTCTAATGACATCCTAATGTGAAAAATATATACAACAACGATTGTAAAAGAGATAATATCATGCGTGATTTGATGTTGTTACGTAGGGTGTGGTTGTATGTGCATTACTTACAATATCATGACTGTTGTAGAAAACTGGAAAGCGTGTTATATATGATCACGGTTGCTATTATTAACTGTTGTAGTATATACATTTAGGCAAGTAACATTACATAACAGTTAATATAAATAATCGTTGTTGAAAGTACTCATAATTTATTATATAATATGTAGATGACATGTTTTTCAATAAACCTCGTAGCAACATATAACAATTCAAATTGATTAATAAGTATATAATCTGAAAATTAAATTATTCTTGCAAGCCAACTTAAACAACTCATTGTTTTTCAAATTGCATCGGTTTCATTGTTCATTTCACGTTGCGTTTAACGTATAAAAGGCGGTTCAATAGTCTAAATCCTTCATGACATCAATTCTTTCTATTCTAGTTTAATTTGAATAATATCAATAAATTGTTGTTATTCAAATTAAACTATAAGAGAATATATGGATGTGATAAAAGGCTCAGGTCATTAACCCACATTCTATATGTTAAACAACGTGAGATGAATGATGAGACGAATGCAATTCATAAAAGTTTGATTGATATAAGTTGGTTTTCAAATACAACTTAATTTTCAGATTATAAGTTTCTATGCCAATTTATATGAAATGTATTTTCTGTGAATGGTTAGTGAAACAAACAATCTACATAGCATATGATAAACTTAACAACATACAACAACACAAGATATTATGTAATGTTTTAAGAATTTAAAGAAAAAACCATTGCTAAGTCAGAAGAAACTTCTTTCTTGTGACTTAGCAATGTTTTGTTCTTGGTTTTAAAACATTAATCAACATTTATCAACAACACAACAACATAAAACAAAATAAGATTCAAGAACAACAATAGCAACGTCCAACAAAAACAACATACGAAATCATACAACAACACAAAATATTATGTAATGTTTAAAGAACGCACCTTTTTTTACTAATTGTGGATCTGGAACAAATTATGATTTTCATCTAGTTTATGAAGCTATGAAGAAGAAGTACAAGTTGAATGAATTTAACACAATAGCTCCATACTTCTTGTATTTTTCTTCATAGCTACACAAACCATATGTGCCATAGTCAAAGTATACGCTTTGTTAAGATGGTGAAGACATATCTGAAAAAAATGAGAATATTCACCAAATAAAAAAATGAGAACCAACTTTTAACAAGAAATGTAAATGAAATCGAAGCATAAGTTTAATGAACGAACCTGAAATATGATTAAGTATTGGTGAAGACGAATTTGAAGGTTTAAGAAAGTTTAAAGAGTGACATGGATGTTGGGGTTATGTTATGAGAGAGGAGAATGAAATATGTTAGGATTTTTGTAAGGGCAAAGTTCCTCATACTTAGCTATACTTATTTTAGTGATGTCAAAACATACATAGGTAGAAAAATGTACTTTGGACGGTATCATCAAGTCGCATATGCATACCTTATTTCTCTTGCGTCAAACATTGGTTAAAACATGTTTAGGTACATATAGAAAAAGTATAATACGTGTTCCATATAGTTTTGATCATGTTAGTTAAGTTAGAGATATATTAGGATCTCTTAAAAGTAGCTAAATATAAAAAAAATGCATTTTTGTAAGTTTTGAGTCTTTGAGTCGACTCATAGCCTACTTAGGTTGACTCATGCAAAAGTCATTTTTTCATGTAATGCTCTCAGGAGAGCTCGCGTCGACCCTCCGGCCGACTCATACTGTGTGCATTTGTGATTGTCTAAATTGGGGTCCTGTGCGTCGATGCATGACCTGTTCTGGTCGATGCAAAGTACTGCTTTCTGCATAGTTCTAAATTCAGGAGAGCTCAGGCCGACCGCTCGCGCGTTTTTCACCAAAATTAGGTTATGTGAAACTTTTAACGTGTTTGTTAAGTTGGTTAATTGTTTTCACATTTGCATATATATTGAGTTAGTTCATTCTACACAAAACAACAAGAAAAGTGAAAATATACACTGATTTGGCTCTCATCATCTTCATCCTCTTTCTTGCATTTTCTCAACAACTATACATAATCATTTTTGTTTTGTATTCTGCATCATCAAGGTGATAACGTCCAAATGTAGGATTGGTGTAATTAGATTTGGGTTGAGAAATCAGTGGGTTTTTCTTGAATAAAACCGTGAAGGTTTTGTCCTTCAAGAATCTTGGATTTTTTTTGGGGGGGAGGGGGGGGGGTTGCACAAATCGGTCATTCACAGATTCAGCCGAGCGAAGGTAATTGAAGAATGAGAAGTTCTTTTAGTTTAGTAGCGTTAACCGGAGGATTGTGGTAGGAATATTTGGGTTCGAATCGTTGGTGTTTGAAATCAGTCGGACAAGATTTGAATATCAGAGGGTTGTTCAAAGGGAGTGTTGTAATCAGAGGTTTACTCATCATCTTCGAAGGACTTGATTCAACTTGAATCAAGGGAAGAGAAGGCATAAACTCTGCATCAACAATTGGGTTTGATTTTTTGAATTATATTGCTTCTCTTATAAACATTTGCAAACAGGTTATATATATATATATATATATATATATATATATATATATATATATATATATATATATATATATATATATATATATATATATATATATATATATATATATATATATATATATATATATATATATATATATATATATATATATATATATATATATATATATATATATATATATATATATATATATATATATATATATATATATATATATATATATATATATATATATATACAAATCTCAATTCTATTTTTAGAATTGAGGGCGGACGTACCCCGAGTGAGGACGACGGAGGAACTGCTTCAACAAATTGGTTTTCTCTCTTTACTTTTTTCATTGCTGAATTTTGAGTTTGTGTGCAAACAATTTAGTTGATTAAAATTCTGGTGTGTGTAATGCTGAACCAATTTTAAAAACCTTATTACAATCCTTAATTATAATTGAATACTATAGAACTTCATTCACATATTGAAATTCACTTGAGGTGCCTTGCACACCAAATGTTCGACTAATTGCGTGAACACAAACATTTGTGTTGGCTTTTCAATTGGGTTATATTTTACACGCATTGGAAACTGTCCAACCTTAAAGTGAACAAAATCTAGTTGATGTATGTTTAAATTAGTGATTCTAAATCTCGTCTTTATCGTATTCCATATAGGTTTTACGTATATCCTATCTTTTCGGTAAAGGTTCGTTTAGAAGAATATAGTTCCTTGGCTGCTTTGCTTGAAACTTTTTAAAACCAAATATTAATAAGCGCCGACTCTGTTTTTAAAAAGTGATCTATTCAGCCCCCTTTCAGATCGGTGCCGTCGTCTAACAGTTTTCATTTGAGAGAAACATTTGTTATATTCTGAGCGATAGATACTTTCGCTTATATAGTATAAAATATCACATTTTATCACGGTTAGAATAAAAATCGTGATATAATATATCACTTTTCATCACGGTTAGAAAGAAAATCTGTGATAATATTTTAAACTTTTACAACAGTTCTTTAGTAAAACCTTGGTTAAATAACTTTCAATTTTTTATTTATT